AGAAGATGGAGCCCATTGGGAGCCTGGCCATTTTGGGACTCTGGGTCTGCTGCTGTTCCACCTGCTGGAATTTTAAAGCCCTTCCTCTTTTAAACATGGTGTTTGTCTGTTTGTTCTCCCATTGGGCCTTGTCTTCCTGCAACACTCACAAGTATCAGAGAACACTTACTCTAGTTTCCAGCAGGGAAAGGGGAAAAATAGCCATTGTGAAATACATCACGGAATTCTGTTTTTCTTAACAAAACATGGCCTCAGAAGAAATCAATTAATCAGAACCTAACCTTTTACTAGAAATTTTACTAGAGCTGCCTGACTTGGAGGAAAGGAAATAGCTACATTAGCCTTATACATGCACATGAGGGAAAAAAATATACAAGTTCAATGAACTATCTCTTGCAAGATACTGGCTGGTATCACAGATTCAATCTACTCACAATCCAGTTGAGATTATGACCACTAAGCCACAAGGAAGCTCAGAAATGTACCTGACATTTGGGCTGTCATGGCTCAAAATCTAGGAAGGAAGTGGGGTTGTTAATAGTAGATACAAAGGAATAATTAACAGGTTATGTTTTTCCTTCTGGCTCCTTAAATATCAATACATAACATTTTCCCTATTTTTGTGTATAAAACACACACACAAACTTTAATGTAGTTACTGCATTCCTCACAAAGCCCAGAATCTCTTGGTAACACGCAATGCTCTCCAGGGAGTATGGATGGTACCCTCAAGGTCTGGTGACGTATAAATTAATAGATAGATTACTTCTCTCACTCCCAGTTTTGACACACACATGGACACACAGGTGTACGTAATGCATCATAAGAAGGGAAATAGAGAATTAGCAATAAAGCTCCCTGTCGGCAATTTGGAATAGGGAAGAACAGGCAGCACACGGCAGCCACCAGTGAACAGAAATGATGAACTGTTGAGAGCAAGTTTTACAGACTTCCTGAATTGGCAGTAAATGGAATTCCTTGTTTACACTATTTATTTTTTCCTTATTTGAGACAGAGACTCACTCTGACCACAGGCTAGAGTGCTGCGGTGTCAGCCTAGCTCACAGCAACCTCAGACTCCTGGGCTCAAGCGATCCTCCTGCCTCAGCTTCCAAGTAGCTGTAATTACAGGTGCCCACCACAACACCCGATTATTTTCAGTAGAGACCGTGTCTCCTCCTTGCTCAGGCTGATCTCTAATTCTTGAGCTCAAAGGATCCTCCTGCCTCGGCTGCCCAGCCCAGTGTCCAGCCTTGTTTAGACTCTTATTCGTGGCTGATTTTTCCACTATTCCCTGTTGCTTTTGATTGGTCTTCTGAAAGATTCTCCATGTTCTTTCTTAGGCCTATTCTTTCTTCCTTAAGTTAACTGAAGTTAGGTGTGGCTATATAATAGAAAAAACAGTCTTGGCTAGGAAAGAAATCATTACGGGGTCTTTGCTCCTAGGCTACCTCCCGCATCTAGCTGATAAATCTTGTGATATACCTTGGAAAAGATGTTGGAATACAATTTTACCCGTTTTGGGTAGACTTATTCAGAAAAGAAAATAAGTGTTTCCAATACCACGGGGCACCTCAGTGGATTTAAACTGCAGGCCATTGGACAAGTACGGTGGTCTGAATAGGGCTGTGGTTTGTGTGCACTAAAAATTTGTGTGTTGACTTCTCTAGAATTAGAGTATAAATGTTTTAACACAATAACTAAGTAAATGACACAAAGTCTATGTTAACCAGTTTGAAGAAAATATTTCAAATTGTATATGAAAACACTACACTGTACCCCATGCTTGCATTAATGTACACAGATATCATTTAATAATAATAAAAAAAATTATGTGTTGAAATTCTAATCCCTGAGGCTACTAGGAGGTGGGGCCTTTCAGGGTGATTAGGTCATGATGGTGTCACCATGAGCAGGATTAGTGCCCTCAGAAAGGGACCCCAGAGAGGTAGCTCACCCCTCTCACCAACTGAGGACACACAGGGAAGGCAGCCTAGAAGCCAGAAAGTGGGTGGGCCCCAGACCCCAAATCTGCTGATGCCTTAATCCCAGACATCTCAGCTTCTAGAACAGTGAGAAATGGAGCTCTGTTGTTTATAAACCACCAGGTTCAAGGTATTTTGCTGTAGCAAAATTCTATAAATAGAATGAGACAAAAACAACAACAACAAACAGAAGTATGTTCCACTTCATCGCTGTGTGCAACCAACCTTGCTGGGTCTTGCCTGCCTTCATTTGCATCTGTTAGAATGTTGCTTAAAGGGACAAGGGTGAGTCACAGGGAGCATAGCGCACTTCCCTTTCAGGACCTCCTGCAGGTTTGGGGAACTCAGTGCTTTGCTTTGCACGTGATGGCAGCTGACTTGTCATGTTTTTTTTTTTTTTTTTTTTCATGAGATAAGGATTACCAGAATTTTAAAACTAAAACTTATCTGTCCTTGAAGCTCACAGCCCACTGAGGAAGCCAGCACATCATTTGAGATTTTTATTATGGCATCATTGTCTTGCTAAGTCCCAAATTATATATTAATTGTGGTACAGCATGAATTACTATAATTATTAGACCCCAAAATACATTCAATCAAACAAGAGAGAATTAGATTTATTTTTGACACCACAGTCCAGAGGAACACGAAAGTTCCATGGTGGTTCGGCAATTCGTCTGAAAGGAGATGCTGGGGTCCAGGCTGGTGGGTGACTGTGCTGTCCTGGCATGCAGTCATGATGTCTGGCACTATCCCAGTGTGTGGACACCCCACCTGATGTACAGTTTGTTGCCATGTTGCAGAATCAAAACAGAGAGGAAGATAAAGTAGATGGCGATACCCTTTTACAGGCATGACGCTGGAATCTGTTCTTATCACTTTGTATCTCACTGCATCTGGACGGTATTAGAGGCAAGAAAGGCTGAGCCTCTAGCTGGCTATCCATTTGCCCGGCTAAAATTCAGTGGTGAAGAGATACAATTCTACAGTTAGGAAGGGAAAAATGAATTTGGCAGACAATTAATAGTCTACTACAACTGTACAAAGCATGGACATATATCTGCTATTAATTCTCTCTGTGTAGAAAATATTATGGGGCTGAGGCTGAGGAGCTCTCTCTTTAACAACCCCTAAGAGCCAATTGCTCCCTATACTGAGGGATTGAAGTGGCTGAGGCCACTATTTCTTTTCTTGCACATTGCTGAATAAATGAAATCTCTTCTGCAGACCAGTTTACCCCGTGGATGTATCCCAGGCTCTATAATAGAATAGAAAGTGTAAAGAATCACATATTGGCTATAGGCCTAACTACAATTCAGCTTGCCTATTTGTAGATTTGTTATTTCGATTTTAATATCTTGTACTCCCAGGCCTATTTGTCACTGGATTCTGGATTTTCTAGGGAAGAGAAGAATGTAATTTACCAGTTCTCATGAGCGGCAAGACCTATTCCTTCTTTCATGTGGCTCCCTAACCTGGCAGGAGGTGCTTTGCTCTGCTGGAGCTTTTCAAACCTGCTTTACTGATGGTCTTCATTTTGTTTGAGTCATTGCATATTTTTTAACCTCAATTTGCTTAACATTTTCATGGGTCTTGACAGAGTTACCTATTCATTCATTTCCTATTCAACTACTTTGTTTTGATTTTTGTTTATGGGATTTCCCACTTCCCTGGTCCTCCTGCTGTCCCACTGGTTGGCCCTTTTTTTTTCTTTTTCTCCTTCCTTAATTAACCCTAATTATTATATTATAGTTTCTAAGAGCTTGACTCTGAGATTCTACATTCTTTCTGTGGCAAGGTATATGATTGTTGACCAGTATTCATTTTCACTCTCCCCCTTGCCATTAACCTTCCACTGAAAGATGATAATTTTTCATCCCATTGGTCAAGTGACTTTGTCTAATCCAGTGTGAGCATCTGCCATATGCTACATCTGAGCAAAAGCTGCAGACACAGCAGCACAACTTGGCTAATCATCTTTCATTCTTCCCCTCTGCCATTAGAAAGATCACGTCCTAGACTGGGGGGTGCCCCTTCACGCTGGCCTGTAGAATTAAAGGGACAAATGTGAAACCCAGCTGTGCAAGAATAGGGGTTGAGAAGTGAGCTGCTGCTGCCGTCAGCCACAAGGTGCTGGTTTTGTTTGTTGTGCAACATAGACTATCAAAGGTAGAGTAAGGACCAAAATTGGCACCTGGGAGTGTTGTGCTCCTAAAACAAAAAAATTAATATTGTAAATTTGAGATTGGGGTGAGTGGAAGGAACAACAAACAAACAAAACTATTATTAGTGGCTGGAAAAATGATGACCCATATTATATAGTGGTAAAAAAAGAAAAATAGTAAAGCTATTGACTGTGGTAATTGGGAAGGCAGATAATCTATCTAATAAGACTATGGGTAAGACCAGTGAGTTTTGGAAACTTGGTGTCATTATGAGATTTAGATAATAAACTTCATTGGCTATGATGTGACAAGTAAGAGTTGAACCTAAGGGGGAACAGAAACTTGCCTTTTTTAAAGAAAGGATGAAAAGTAAATTATAATTTTGAAGATCTTAGACTTTGCAGAGCTGAGAAATATAATGGGGTTCTTTCTTCTAAGTAGAAACATAAAATTGAGCAATCTGTGGAGACTCAAATTCTCATTAAGATGACTCCTTAGGGCAAAGACCAAGTCATGGGTATAATCATTAAGACACATGCTTGGGGAAAGCACAAATGAGAAGCTGAAAAAGACCACCCTTTGTTAAAACTTGTGAATAGTTGACTTGATATATTTCATTTGTTATTACATGGCTTCTGGTGGATATTTGTAGTTGAGCAAAGGGTGAGATTCAATAAAAGTCAGATACACTGAAAATATTTGCAATTAATCTAAGGACAAAAGTGTGTCTCAAAAATAATTTCTTACATGGTTATTATTAGAATATTTACCTAACTAGCACCAAATAAGTAAAAAAAATCCAAAGATATTTTTGAAACTTTTGTATCTTTAAAATCAATGTTAATCTGTAGTACTTGCTTCAGCAATAACACATATACTAAAATTTGAATGATATAGAGAAGATTAGCATGACTCTTGTGTAAGGATGACACAAATATTCATGAAACATTGTACATTTCTTTTCTTTTTTTTTTTTTTAGAGACAGAGTCTCACTTTATCACCCTCCCTAGAGTGCTGTGGCATCACAGCTCACAGCAACCTCCAACTCCTGGGCTTAAGTGATTCTCTTGCCTCAGCCAGAATGCGTGGGTATTATTTTGTTGCAGTTTGGCTGGGGCCGGGTTTGAACCCACCACCCATGGTATATGGGGCTGGCGCCCTACTCACTGAGCCACAAGTGTTGCCCTAGAATTGTACTATTTTTAGCCTTTGTATATGCCAACAGTAGTTAAGCTGAGAATAAAATCAGACTCTATTCCTTTTATGATATTACCAAAAAAGATGAACAACCTGGGAATATATCTAACAAAAGACATGAAAGATGTCTATAAAGAGAATTATGAAACTTTGAGAAAGTAAATAGTAGAAGATGTTAACAAATGGAAGAACATGCAATGCCCATGGCTGGGAAGAATCCATATTGTTAAAATGTCCATACTACCCAAAGCAATCTATGGATTTAATGCAATCCCCATCAAAGCACCAATGTCATACTTTAAAAAACTTGAAAAAATAGTACTTTGATTCATATGGAAACAGAAAATGTCCCAAATAGCAAATACAGTCTTAGAAATAAAAGCAAATTTAGATGCATCATGTTGCCAGATTTCAGGTTATACTACAAGTCTATAGTGATCTAAGCAGTACCACAAGCATGGTACTGGCACAAAAATAGAGATGTAGACATATGAAATAGGATAAAGAATCTAGAGATGAACATGGCCACGTATCATCATTTGATCTTTGACAAGCTGAACAAAAGCATGCGCTGGGGAATATAAGCCTTATTTAACAAATGGCGCTGGGGGACTGCTTACCCACATGCAGAAAACTGAAACCAGACCCACACTTCTCAAGATTGACAAAAATCTATACTCTCTGGATAAAAGGCTTAAATTTAAGACATAAAACAATAAAAATTCTAGAAGATAGGGTGGGGAAAACGCTTGAAGATATTGGCCTGGGAAAAGACTTCTGAGGAAGACCCCCAGCAATTGCAGCAACACTAAAAATAAACAACTGAGATTTTTATCCAGCTTAAAAGCCTTTTCACAGCTAAGGTACCACAAATAAAGGAAACAGACAACTTTTGGAATGGGAGAAGATGTTTGCATGTTATGAATCTGACAAAGGCCTTATAACTAGAATTCAGAGAACTCAAACTAAAGAATAAGAAAAGGACAAACAACTCCCTCTATAGGTGGGCATGAGACTTGAACAGAAATTTCTCCAAAGATGACATGAATGGCCAACAAACACATGAAAAATGCTCATTATATTTAATTATCAGAGAAATGCAAATTAAAATCACTCTCACATATCACCTAAACTCAATAAGATTAGCCCACATCACAAACCCTGAAACTGCTGGTGTGAATGAGGAGAGAAGGGAACACTTCTGCATTGCTGGTGGGATTGCCAACTAATGCAGCCTTTTTTGAAAGAAGTTTGAATAATCCTCAAAGAAATAAAGTAGACCTCCTATTGGATCCTGCAATTGCATTGCTAGGTATCTACCCAGAGGAACAAAAATCATTTTACCACAAAGACATTTGCACTAGAATGATTATTGCAGTGCAATTCATAATTCCCAAGTCATGGAAGCAACCTAAGTAACCCAACAACCCATGAATGGATCAACAAACTGTGATACATGTACACCGTGGAATATGATGCAGCCATTAAAATAGATGAGACTTTATATTTTCACATTTACCTGGATGGAGTTGAAACATGTTTTTCTTGGTATAGTATCTCAAGAATAGAAAAATAAATATCCAATGTACTCAATGCTAATATGAAATCAATATTTAATAATTACATGCTCATTTGAACAATATAATCTAGTATGGGGGATGGGGGCAGGATGATTGGCAGGAGGGAGGACATGAGGCGGGATCTCACCCACTTTGCACATTGTGAGGGTGTATAACACGCCCCTGAGTGAGGGGCTCTTTTACAACTGGAACTTTACCCTGGAACTGAGAACAATATAATCTAAAAATCTGTACCCTCATATTAATTTGAAATAAAAGAATAAAAATATGAAAGGATAATGGAAAAAATTAGAAAGTAATTAGGGGTAAAAATTTCCCCTAATAAAGGAATTGCACAAATTATATGTGCACACAATCTTTTTATCAGTCCTTAAAAGAGACAGAGACACCGTGTTAGTGTAAAGAGCCAAGTATATGGCATTATATGACTCAATAACTCAGCAACTGTGTTGCTTATCTGTTGTATATAAATTACTGATGGAGATGTATAAAAATGCCTGATAAAAAATAAGTTCTTCATAATGAGATAGAAGATACAATGAGATAAACAATAAAAAATCTCCCCGATGAACTATTTAAAAAAAATGTAGTAAAAGAGTTTGTGACTATTCAATATCTAAAATAGATGTTTGGCTCTCAATGTTCCACTGGGGAAAAAGAAGACTTGAATAAACACTTGTCACATGCTGTCAAGAGGACTAATTAAAAGAAAACTCTTCACAGAAGACAGGGCTCAGACCTTTGGGGACCACTGAATCTAGGAGCTCCTCCCAGTGGGCAGAACCAGAGACCCATCAAGGAGGGGGATATGCAATGTTTATTGATGGGGTGCAGAACACAGTATTTCCAATCATGACATCTGAGTATATTAAACTGAGAAAACAGGAGAAGCAAACTCTGACCTTCTCCCACCTTTTCTCCTGAGGCCTTAAAAATAATTCTCTAACTAACTCCCCTGAAGGTAGGATCTACGTATGGGACAAGTGTTCTCCTCTATACCTCAAGGAAAGGACCAAAACCACAGAGATGCCAGGAGGACCAAACAAAGAGACCCCACTCAGTTCTCCCACTTCATAATAATTAGATCATATCCATTGTTGTCCCATCATACTTCTATATCACTGTCTATTCTTCATCAAATCTAAGCATAAAAATGCAGTTTTTCCTGAATCTTTGGTTCTCTTCATTTTGGAAGTCTCCTGTGTCAAATGTAAGTTGGTTTAAATAAATTCATTACACTTTTTCTCTTATTAATCTGTCTTTTGTTAGAGGTATGCCAGCTCTAAATCTTGTAATGGGCAACAAAATAATATGACTTTGTCTCCCATCCATTATCTAGCTGAATTTCAGATTTTTGTGATTGATTGCTGTGTCTCTCGTTATTCTTTTTTTCAAGCAATAATGCTTCCTGGTAGACATCCTATCATTTTGTGATGGATGTGGGAGCCAGAACAGTATCATCATCTAAACTTAAAGTGCGGATTATCACAAAATGATGGATTTGCCATCTTTCGCCATGATTGAATAAGACATTTAGGGTATCCTTTTTTGGAGTGTGTTTTCTGTGCAGAAGTGAGAGAAATAAATATTGGTTCCTAAGATGGTGTGTTATGTTGATAGATTGTTGTTTCCTGATACTCAAACCTTCCTACCCTTCTGCACCACTGCCCCATGGGAGAAATACATTTTTTCATTTAATAAAACAATTTGCCATGATGCTTAATTTGGGCAAGAAAATATGAATGGCCAAACCAATTATCAAAGTGAAGCATTCAGTGTGACTGGAACAGCTTAGCCTCTTCATGGGGCTGCTGCTGCAGAGAGGCCTGGCTGATAGGCAGATTGCACCTTTACCCTGACGGCAGACACCTGGGGTGGCACCGAGAGAGACCCAGAGAATTCACAGTCTGTCTATGCAACATGAGTGTCAATGGATAAAAAGCCCAAATCTGGAAAAGAGGTGAATTCTGAGCCAACTGTGTGTGTCTGATGGCCGAGAGCACACGGCCTCAAGAGGTCCTGAGAAAATGTGCCCAAGGCCGCAGGGTTGACTTTATGCATCATGGAGATAGAAATTGCATGTGAAATGACGTAAACTATATGGAAGGAGTACATTGGTTTGCCCCAGAAAGGTGGGGCATCTTGAAATAGAGGCTTATCTTTTACGGGTTGATTCAAAGTTTCGTTGATTTGTAATCAGTTGAAAAAATGAAACTTTGTCTAAAGGCTTGGAATGTTTTAAGTTAAAATAAGGATGTCTGTTAATCAGAGATAAGGCGCTGGAAACATACAGCACTCAGATGATCTGTGGATAAATTAATGGCCTGACGGTGTGGGTTAACCTCTGTCTTGAGGTTAACCTGGCCCCGGGTCCTGCTAACGGTGCAGTAAGTTATTGTCACAAAGAGGAACTCCCAAAGGGAGGGGGTGTAATGAGATGTTTCTGGCCTTCCTTCTCCTCATGGCTGGCAACTCAGTTTTTGGATTTCTCTGGACCTTCCTTGGGCAAAGTTGGGGTTCATTTATTTGGATAAGTTACTTAGGATTTTATTGTACTTCATATGAGCAAGAAATGAACTTTAGTGCTCAGTTTCCGAGATTTGGGGGTCGTGTGTTTCTCAGCATGCACGTGTCTTGGTATCTACCTTATGTTTGGGAAATTTCTCACTAATTGAGTTCTTACCGTGCTGAGGAGAATTCAGGCAGTTGCCTCCCTGTACACCTTTGCAGCACAGGCCCAGACGTGTGAACTAGTGTCTGACAAACTCATCAGGCACAGCCACAGGTAGGAGAACCGTCAATCCAGAAGTGAGACCGAGATGAGCCAAGTGCCACACTGGATCCATGTTTAGTTGAGGATGGAAGAGACGGCTTTTAGAGGCAGTGGTGAGAGAGGATCACACTGGTACCCATGGTGACTATGCCAAGTGGAGTTTCTGATTCCTGCTTTAATTTGCTAGAGTGGCTTCCTCCCTTCTTCTCTCCCTCCCTCTTCTCGTCTTTCTTTCTCTCCCTCTTTCTTTCCTTCTTTCCGCCCTCCCTTCTTTCTCTCCCTCCCTCCCTCTCTCCTTTCCTCTCTCCCTTCTTTCCTCCCTCTCTTCCTTCCTTCCTTCCCTCCTTCTTTCTTTCTCTCCCTTCCTCCTTTCTTTGTTCAGCAAATGGCCCCCAATGTAAGTGGTTTA